ATTTCCCATTTAGACAAGTGGCCCTAAATGTGTGTGTCACGATCTTGATTTCACCGCACTGTGTATGAATCAAAACCCCATACCAACAGTGGTTGAGGTTGGGTGTAGGTTCAAGTATATACTCTAAGACTCATCCATGGCAGCTTGTTATACACAACCATCGCAGAGGAAGCTCACACCGTGCGAATTACCACAACCACAACAAACCGCCACACACTCATCAATAGCAATCCCCACGGCAACCTTGACACGGTGTACCTTCTAAATCCATGGAGTCATCAGACAAAACAGCATCCTCATTCTGTTTCAGCCCTGTGGGTACAGTATGCAGGCCTGTACAGTATGCAGGCCTGTACAGTATGCAGGCCTGTACAGTATGCAGGCCTGTACAGTATGCAGTACAGTGAGAAACTAGCCGACCACAACAAACACACACTAGGATTGGGCTATGGAGAAACGGGAAGGACTTGGGGCAGGCTAAATGAGATAGCCTAGTAGTAGGTTAGTGTCTACACTAGAACAAAGTGTGTCTTTGGCTGTCGCCATTGGAGAATCCTTTTTGGTTCCAGGTTGAACCCTTTTTTTCTAAGAGTGTAGAGGGAAACTGGGACAGGGTTTGAAGTCAGGCTTACTGAGGTGACAGTAGGTCAAACCACTAAATCAACCACATAAATAGACTGAAGTTTAGAATGACTGTCTCTATACATGGTTGTGGTCATATACAGTAGGCTAGTGACTGGATCAAGTGTTAAACTCACCCTCCTCATCAGACACATCCAGGACTTCAGTCATGGTCTCAGGAACGTTCATCTTGTGTTTCTCTGTCACCGTCTAGACGACATAAACAGACACATCTCATTACAACTAGTCTACCATTGACATTAATGCAAAACTATGTGAAAATTCGACTTAAGTGGAAGTTAGGAATTGCCCCTTACAAGCTAAATAAACACCATGTGTAAATACTGTGATTTCAGACAAAAGATGTGAGGAGCTGTTGGACTGAGATAGTTGAATCACTCACGGTTGTCGAGGTAATGATCTCCTCGGTGACCACCTTGAGTGTGTCCACCACAGAGATGTAGCCCAGTCGCCGGGCGATGGCCAGAGCTGTGTTACCATTCTGTTAGGATGGTAGAAAGACATATAAGTGTGTGTGTGTGTGTGTGTGTGTGTGTGTGTGTGTGTGTGTGTGTGTGTGTGTGTGTTTTCAGCAGCTAGTCCACTCACCACAGTGATGTTGTTGGGCTTAGCTCCATTCTGCAGCAGTAGATTGATGATGTGTGTGTTTCCTTGTTGTGCTGCTTGGTGGAGGGGAGTGTACCCATTCTGAGAAGAGAAAGTACTGACTGTAATGACTGTCTGGCAAGGCCTGAACATTTAAGAGATTCAAATGTGAACCCTTAGGCTAGCACTTGATATTTTCTGTTAAAGTAAAGCATGCATTATTGAACATTCATAACACAGTGAAAAAGTGCTTATGTGCTTTATCATACACTATATACCTTTCTTATACATTTCCATATGCAACAAACCCCATTATAAATGCACTGTGGCAGTTTTGTGTATGGTTTATTACCTTGGTTTCGGCGTTGACGCTAGCACCGTTCTGTAAGAGGAAGTTGACCATCTTGGCGTTTCCATAGTGACACGCTACAATCAGTGGAGTATAGCCCAACTGGAGGAGAAAAGTAAATCACAGTTAGTTTCAAAACACATCTCCTAACATTATCAAAGATAAATAATAGGGCCTTATCATCATTCCAGTACAATGGTCATTCTATGCTCAAATTAAATGAATGTACATTCCAAATCAAATCAAATCAAATCAAATCAAATTTTATTGGTCACATGCGCCGAATACAACAGGTGCAGACATTACAGTGAAATGCTTACTTACAGCCCTTAACCAACAGTGCATTTATTTTAAACAAAAAAAGTAAGAATAAAACAACAACAAAAAAAGTGTTGAGAAAAAAAGAGCAGAAGTAAAAATAAAGTGACAGTAGGGAGGCTATATATACAATAGAATAAAGTGACAGTAGGGAGGCTATATATACAGGGGGGTACCGTTGCATAGTCAATGTGCGGGGGCACCGGCTAGTTGAGGTAATATGTACATGTGGGTAGAGTTAAAGTGACTATGCATAAATACTTAACAGAGTAGCAGCAGCGTAAAAAGTATGGGGTGGGGGGGCAGTGCAAATAGTCCGGGTAGCCATGATTAGCTGTTCAGGAGTCTTATGGCTTGGGGGTAGAAGCTGTTGAGAAGTCTTTTGGACCTAGACTTGGCACTCCGGTACCGCTTGCCGTGCGGTAGCAGAGAGAACAGTCTATGACTAGGGTGACTGGAGTCTTTGACAATTTTGAGGGCCTTCCTCTGACACCGCCTGGTCCATACCTTAGTTTGCTGGTCCAGGTTGGCTCCATGTTTAGTCAGTATCTCACTGACAACCACCTTGTCCTCCTGGGCAGCAAGATGGAGGGAGGTGAGGCCACTCTGAAGGGACAATATGTTACAATATGTTACTCACCACATCTCTAAATCAATCAATCAATGAGCAAACTGTATAGTGTAACTACGGACAGGAGATTGTCCATAGATGCTGTATGTGGTTACATTAGGTTACATGGTTCCCCTAAATATTGAGGGAGGAGTTTTGAGTGACAGGCGACCTTTACCACCAAAACAGGAAATGACCAGTTGACAGGGGAGGAAATGTGAGATTGGGTATTTGGGTTTTGTGACCCGTTTCACTCATGCAGAGTGCAGATACACTATCAGTGTTCTTGCACCCCTGAGATAGTGTGCATTTGTCATCGGTACAGTATATATGACAGGGTGGACTGAGTCTGGTAAAGCAGTGATATATCTTCATCCACTCAGGTCTGTCTGGGGTTCAGTGATAGAGCTGGATGAAGAATGAGCGGATTGGAAAAAGGTTACAGGAGGTATAAATCTGGGTTTCTGCTTGAGACAAATCCCTGTGATAATCAAATCAAATCAAATTGTATTTGTCACATGCGCCGAATACAACCGGTGTAGACCTTACAGTGAAATGCTTACTTACAAGCCCTTAACCAACAATGCAGTTTTAAGAAAAATAAGTGTTAAGTAAAAAATAGATAAGTAAAAAATAAAATAAAAAATAAAAAGAAATAACAAATAATTAAAGAGCATCAGTAAAATAACAGTAGCGAGGCTATATACAGGGGGGTACCGGTACTGAGTCAATGTGTAATAACAGTAGCGAGGCTATATACAGGGGGTACCGGTACAGAGTCAATGTGTAATAACAGTAGCGAGGCTATATACAGGGGGTACCGGTACAGAGTCAATGTGTAATAACAGTAGCGAGGCTATATACAGGGGGTAGTGGTACTGAGTCAATGTGTAATAACAGTAGGGAGGCTATATACAGGGGGTAGTGGTACTGAGTCAATGTGTAATAACAGTAGGGAGGCTATATACAGGGGGTACCGGTACTGAGTCAATGTGTAATAACAGTAGCGAGGCTATATACAGGGGGTAGCGGTACTGAGTCAATGTGTAATAACAGTAGCGAGGCTATATACAGGGGGTAGTGGTACTGAGTCAATGTGTAATAACAGTAGCGAGGCTATATACAGGGGCTAGCGGTACTGAGTCAATGTGTAATAACAGTAGGGGGGCTATATACAGGGGGTACCGGTACAGAGTCAATGTGTAATAACAGTAGGGAGGCTATATACAGGGGGTAGTGGTACTGAGTCAATGTGTAATAACAGTAGGGAGGCTATATACAGGGGGTACCGGTACTGAGTCAATGTGTAATAACAGTAGCGAGGCTATATACAGGGGGTAGTGGTACTGAGTCAATGTGTAATAACAGTAGGGAGGCTATATACAGGGGGTACCGGTACAGAGTCAATGTGTAATAACAGTAGGGAGGCTATATACAGGGGGTACCGGTACAGAGTCAATGTGTAATAACAGTAGGGGGGCTATATACAGGGGCTAGCGGTACTGAGTCAATGTGTAATAACAGTAGCGAGGCTATATACAGGGGCTAGCGGTACTGAGTCAATGTGTAATAACAGTAGCGAGGCTATATACAGGGGCTAGCGGTACTGAGTCAATGTGTAATAACAGTAGCGAGGCTATATACAGGGGCTAGCGGTACTGAGTCAATGTGTAATAACAGTAGCGAGGCTATATACAGGGGTAGCGGTACTGAGTCAATGTGTAATAACAGTAGCGAGGCTATATACAGGGGCTAGCGGTACTGAGTCAATGTGTAATAACAGTAGCGAGGCTATATACAGGGGGGTTTGGGGGGTTTTGGGTAGCGGTACTGAGTCAATGTGTAATAACAGTAGGGGGGCTATATACAGGGGGCTAGCGGTACTGAGTCAATGTGTAATAACAGTAGCGAGGCTATATACAGGGGCTAAGCGGTACTGAGTCAATGTGTAATAACAGTAGCGAGGCTATATACAGGGGCTAGCGGTACTGAGTCAATGTGTAATAACAGTAGGGGGGCTATATACAGGGGGTAGAGGTACTGAGTCAATGTGTAATAACAGTAGGGGGGCTATATACAGAGGCTAGCGTTACTGAGTCAATGTGTAATAACAGTAGCGAGGCTATATACAGGGGCTAGCGGTACTGAGTCAATGTGTAATAAACAGTAGCGAGGCTATATACAGGGGGGTACGGTACGAGTCAATGTGTCATAACAGTAGGGGGGCTATATACAGGGGCTAGCGGTACTGAGTCATGTGTAATAACAGTAGGGGGGCTATATACAGGGCGGTAGCGGTACTGAGTCAAATGGTAATAACAGTAGCGAGGCTATATACAGGGGCTAGCGGTACTGAGTCAATGTGTAATAACAGTAGCGAGGCTATATCAGGGGGGTAGCGGTACTGAGTCAATGTGTAATACAGTAGCGAGGCTATATCAGGGGGGTAGTGGTACTGAGTCAATGTGTAATAACAGTAGCGAGGCTATATACAGGGGGTAGCGGTACTGAGTCAATGTGTAATAACAGTAGCGAGGCTATATACAGGGGGTAGCGGTACTGAGTCAATGTTTAGGGGCACCGGTTAGTCGAGGTAATTGAGGTAATATCATTTAAAAAAATTAAATAAAAAAAATAAAAACATTGTAAAGTGGTGATCCCACTGGCTATAAGGTGAATGCACCTATTTGTAAGTCGCTCTGGATAAGAGCGTCTGCTAAATGACGTAAATGTAAATGTAAATGTAAATATGTACGTGTGGGTAGAGTTAAAGTGACTATGCATAGATAATAAACAGAGAGTAGCAGCAATGCAAATAGTCCGGGTAGCCATTTGATTAGCTGTTCAGGAGTCTTATGGCTTGGGGGTAGAAGCTGTTAAGAAGCTTTTTGGACCTAGACTTGGTGCTCTGGTACAGCTTGCCGTGCGGTAGCAGAGAGAACAGTCTATGACTAGGGTGGTTGGAGTCTTTGACAATTATTAGGGCCTTCCTCTGACACCGCCTGGTATAGAGGTCCTGGATGGCAAGAAGCTTGGCCCCAGTGATGTAGTGAACCATACGCACTACCCTCTGTAGTGCCTTGAGGTCGGAGGCTGAGCAGTTCCCATACCAGGCAGTGATACAACCAGTCAGGATGCTCTCGATGGTGCAGCTGTAAAACTTTTTGAGGATCTGAGGACCCATGCCAAATCTTTTCAGTCTCCTGAGGGTGAACAGGCTTTGTCGTGCCCTCTTCACGACTGTCTTGGTGTGTTTGGACCATGATAGTTTGTTGGTGATGTGGACACCAAGGAACTTGAAGCTCTCAACCTGCTCCACTACAGCCCCGTCGATGAGAATGGGGGCATGCTCTGTCCTCCTTTTCCTGTAGTCCACAATCATCTCCTTTGTCTAGATTACGTTGAGGGAGAGGTTGTTATCCTGGCACCACATGGCCAGGTCTCTGACCTCCTCCCTATAGGCTGTCTCATCGTTGTCTGTGATCAGGCCTCCCACTGTTGTGTGGTCGGCCATGCAGTCATGGGTGAACAGGGAATACAGGAGGGGACTAAGCACGCACCCCTGAGGGGCCCCCGTGTTGGGGATCAGCGTGGCAGATGTGTTGTTACCTACCCTTACCACCTGGGGGCGGCCCGTCAGGAAGTCCAGGATCCAGTTGCAGAGGGAGGTGTATAGTCCCAGGGTCCTTAGCTTAGTGATGAGCTTTGAGGGAACTATGGTGTAGAATGCTGAGCTGTAGTCATTGAATAGCATTCTCACGTAGGTGTTCCTTTTGTCCAGGTGGGAAAGGGCAGTGTGGAGTTTAATAGAGATTGCATCATCTGTGGATCTGTTGGGGCGGTATGCAAATTGGAGTGGGTCTAGGGTTTCCGGGATAATGGTGTTGATGTGAGCCATGACCAGCCTTTCAAAGCACTTCATGGCTACAGACGTGAGTGCTACGGGTCTGTAGTCATTTAGGCAGGTTACCTTAGTGTTCTTGGGCACAGAGGAGGTTGACTGACGGCCTTGCATGCCTGTTCTAAATTTCTAAGACAATGTGTGTGTGTGGGGGGGGGGGGGGACTATAAAGTGTGCTTTTGTGTGTGTGTGCGTGCATGTGTGTTTGTGTGCGTATGTGCGTACATGCGTTTGTGTGCATGTACTGTATTCACATGCTATGTATGTTTAGTATGTGCATGCCAGTAAGCGTGTGTAGGTGCGTGCATGCGAGCAGGCGTGTGTCTCGCTTTCGCCCACAGACAAGGACCATTAAGTAGGATCGATGTGATACGTGTGGGAAGACATCCGTGGTCGTCACGGCAGTGTACTAACCTCCCACATCCCTCGCTGTGACTCATCCGTCTACAGCACTGGGCTGTTCCTAAAATAGCCATGAAACAGCTCTCTGTCCCTCTTTTAACCCTCCCGTTGTCCGACTTTAAAGAAAGTATCACTGCCTCCTTCTCACAATCACAAATTAAATAAAGTTGGTTCAACACAGTGGCGGGTCATTTTGAACCTAGGACAACGGGAGGGTTAACTTCATTCCTGTTACATTATTGTAAGCCATGCTGCAGCTCTGTAATCACAACAGAGGACTTGTAACAACGCTAAATGTAATAACACCGGTAAAAGTAATAACTTTTCTATTTGTAATAACTTTTAGATTTTTTATGTAATAAAACATTGAACGGTAAACGTAATAACTTTTTTCGGTAAATGTAACACACACACATTCGGTCTTCAACGAGGTCCGGAGGGCCGCACAGATTTCTTTTTACATTTGCAAAAAATGTGCCTCTATCCATAGTTTTTGGAATTTGCTCCCTGACTGTCTAACTTTAATTTGAGTGATTATTAGCAAGCTGGACACAGTAAAGAAACTGTATGAATGTAGGTCCATTATCATTTCTCCGGTGGCATGCATTAAAACACGTATCTTTGTCGTGGCTTTCTTTTGCAAAATAAATATGAATTAACAGACGTATTTTTGAATAATTGTCAACATACTGT